CTTTCCTCTTTTTTTTTCATTATATATTACTACTTACTAGGGTAGCTAATGCGTGCACATAGCTAGCCTGTTCGGAAATTTCTTTCAGTTTAGTTTTATGTCACAACATTAGTAGTTGGTATTATTATTGAGGGAAAATATGTTATAAAAAAAAATGTTTCTACAGCGGTCGTTTGAAATATGACTACCTTATTATTTTAATGATAAATAATATGAGCGACCCATTTTTTCACACTATAAATTGGATACAATTAGTATTCTAATTTCTACAATGCAAATATAATTTTTGAAAATTTTAATCCAACATAAAATAAATATTTTTTGAGAAACTATAAAATAAGAGTTAAAAATTACATAAATAAAACTAAAAATTTGATAAATTAAAAACATGTTGATAATAATATTTATAGCAAAAATAGAGTAATATAATTAATTATTTGGATAAAAATACATTAATTATGAACTATATAATCATTAAAATATTATGATAGTCATTTTTCAAACGACTACGGTAGAACTTTCGAATTTCTACACACACTATTTTTAGGATTTCAGTGCATAAAAGATCTAGAGTCAACTAACATTATTAAGCAAATAAGTAGATAAACATTTTAAAGGGTATAATCATCCAAACACTAATTATAAGGTCGAGTTATCTCAAACTTTTTAAAAAAGGTAGGGAATCACGTAGTTTTATTATAGGAAAGATCTACAATGGGTGTTATTATCTTTCAAACCTATAATAGTATTTTTTTTTTTTAAAAAAAAAAAATTACTCCTATATATGATACATGGGATGAATTATCCTATACATGATACATGGGATGAATTACAAAACAAAAGATATTTAAAAAAGTTAAAATAGAATTGTAGTCTTCATCATATGATAAATGTTAAATTCACACATTTCAAACAAAAAAAAAGGTAAATTCACAAAACTTATAGAGTTGATTATATTATCTATAAATAATATATATTCCCAACATTTCCTTATTTATCAATTAGTATTACACACAATCACACCTGTTACAATTGCTTAATTAACGAGAAATTGTGGTAATCATGAAAAAGACATACATGTACTAATATTTGAGATTATTGAAAATATAATTGGTTCCACCATGCATGTGCCGATGTGCGTTGAATAATTCAGGTAAATTAATAAGCAAAAGTAGATTAATCTAAGATACGGCTGTTGCATGATATATTATAATATTAACAATAGTGATGGCTAAGACAACGATATTTTTGTCCGTCGTAACCTCCTTAGTGGAAAGATCTACAATTCTATTGTAGGATACTTTATTTTTGTATCGTTTCGTTGGATTTGATGACCAATATCTAATAGCTTTGTTGAAAACCCTAAGTCATACTATATAACTTTATTTACTCATTCAAGAACCAATATCCACCGTCCACTCATTAAGATGTAAAACTTTCAACTAAAAGGATTTGTCTTAATAAGTGATTAAAAAACATTAGCCTAATTTTTTTTCCAAGAAAGACATTAGCCTAATTAGTGTAAAAAAAACATTTAATTAGTACTCCATATAAATTTCTTTATAATTTATCTTTAAGAGCAATACAATTATTATTAAAACTCCGAGCTCAGTGATCATCACTAACTAGTTCATGAACTCACAGGAGGGCGAAACATATATAGTTTGTCTTATCATTAAAAAGAACGCATGTATGCTACATTATAATCAATAATTTTATCAATATATATTAGAGCGAGAATCAAAAGTATCTGAAATTGTGAAAAAAAAAAACATGTTTAGGTTTTTGATTATCTAAACTAAAGCATGATATATTTAAAGTGCACGCATTTCATTAATTATTTCATGTATCCAAGACAAAGAGTACAACACTACCAACGTGCAGTCATACATGCATGCATGGTTAGGCCTTAGGCCCTGATGTGTTCTATTAGACTTATTCAGTTCAGCTTAGCTCATTATTTTATTTCAATCCAACTCATTTATGCTCAATTCAGCGCATTATGCATGCTACTTCAATCCAGTTTAGTTAAATACAATTCAGCTCAACTCAAAAGAACAAGACCTAATGTGAAAATGCTGGAGGGAGAGCATCATTCTAAACACTCCTAGGTGTAACATACATTTGTTGGCCATTTTAAGCTTCAACTTGATTCGTAACGTATCAGACTTATCAACGAAACAATAATGCAAAAGGGGTGGTAACGTAGTATAACCACGGTTATTGTAAAATTCACATAATGTTGATGGATGGATGATTGAGGGATTCGTATCTATCTTTGCAATGATAAGTAATAAGAAAAGCTGATGTGCATGCATGTAATGTAATATAAGTGATATATGAATATATCTTGAAGCAGCTTCTTTCAACCTGTGTTTTGAACGTCATTAACTCATTTTCATGTAGTGGTCCTTATTTATGGCCGTACCCCGTCTCAGATGGCAACATCAGGTCCATCTTCTCCACAAACCCTTTTTTTTTTTTCCTTTTCTTTTTTCTCTCATGCATTTGTCCGTTCGAGGGTTACATAAGGCAATTAACCATGCATCCAAAAACTAAGATTTTACGTGCATGCGAAATAAATGAAACCCCTAAAAAGCGTGCCTAAATTCTTACTCAATGATAACTCAATCATGTATATTAAGTCCACTCGTGACTTGTTGTATTAGCATGCAAATTTAGACATCAAGGTGGTAATCAATGCATGTGGAAGATTTTCTATACAACGGTTATGAGCAACCTGTACACAATAGGATTTATTTGTATTAGGGTACAAAAAAATTAATTAGTTGTTATTTTTTTATATTGTGAGCTAGATATATAACGATTTAAGTTTAATATTTTATTCGGTCATAAGATGATAAGATGAAACTGTTTTTTCGTTCTCTTCCATTCTCAATATTATGAATTAATTAAGACAATTTAGAAATTAAATTATCAATCCCCATACATAACATATATGTGTTTGATTTCTTTCTCTCTCTCTCTCTCTTTTTTTTTCAGTTCCTTCTTAAACAAATATACACCGAATACCATAAATTTAACACTGAAATAGACAAGCTTATTAAGGTACATGTAATTTAATTTTGGGCTACATGTAATGTTTATAGACTTTGTTGATTAAAGTTTATGTAGTCAATTCCAATAGTTTATCCTTTGCATCATCATCAACTGTAAGCCGAAAAAAAAGGGAAGAAAAGTATGTAGCATCAAAAGTGCAGATTAAAAGAAGCAATTATATGAAAGCAAATATTTTCTACATACCTAAAGAACATTCTCCACCATCGGCCCAATCCTCTTCCTAGTAAGGACAACCAGAGATAACGCCACACGTTCGTTGGTGCTAATTACTTTATTAAGCTCTTATTAATCTTAATTTTCTTTCTGATGAAGATACATGCTGGTAAGAACTAGGGCATGATAGCCGCCATATGCAAGATTATTTTTTCATTTATTTACAACAAGTTTAATTAAATGTTTTTACTTGATACACTTAATCACTTTTTCCCCTAAAAGAAATTATCTTTATTCCTTAAAAAAAACACAGGAGAAAAATATAGTATGAGAGTTTAATTATACTTTGTAAATATTTGGAGTTGAAAAAAATAATCTAAAATCACTATCCTAGCTTAGGAGGTACGGAATATGCAATTACTTTTGCATGGTCCCTTTATTATTAAAAAGTAATTTCATTTTCTATTGCCATTAAAAAAAAAAAATAGCTAATTGATTATTACAAGTTAAAAAAAAAACCTGGCCTTTTAATCATTTTACATACAACTTGTCTACATGCACGTATCTTTCATAAACAAAAAATTGAAATATACGAAGTATTTTTGATAACATACGGACCCTTTGGAAAAAAGCTTAATGGCCGGGCTATTTATAGATATTAAAAGGCGAAAAAAAAAATAAAAAAAAAAATTAGTGTATAAATTTCATCCATCATAAATACGAAGTAGTATGTATATATTTCGAATATGAAAATTCAATAAATTTACCTTATTACTCAGTACTCCGTATTATTGATTAACCTATTCAAGTTCAAAGACTCTATATAGTAAAAAAAAAAAAAAAAAAAAAAAAAAGGTAAAAGTTGCAAATTCTTGCCAGAAAAAAAAAATGTTGGAAATTTTCTAAGCTATGAAAACATGCTTTGATCGATCTTCAAAATTTTACAAAAATGAAGTAAATTCATGCTCAGCCAACAGAATTCTGAGCTAGCTAGCTTAGCTAAGCTAACCAGTGCATATATAGTACTAAATCTTTGTCCTTTGATATCCTCTCAGCTCCTAATTAGCTTTTATGGAGAAGAAAAAATGCTGATTCTTAAAGTTCATTCAAAACTTTGGGGAAAAAAAAAATAAAAAAATTAAGGGTTATTTTTGTTTTTATTCAACTTCCCTTATTGTTCATTCTTCATTCTACTTTTCACTTTGCAAATTTTTTTTGTAATTCCTTGCTTTAATTTGAAGACCCTTACTTGTTTGCATTGCTTTAATTTTATAAAAGCTAATTTGTGTCCTGAGTAATGTGGGGTATGTGGTCACAAAATGCATGGGACTTTGCAGCATAAAAACATATTCCTAGTCAGTAAAGAGCAATTAATATTATACTATATAATATAATCTTGGTAAGTTAATTATATTAATTTTATTACTAACCAATAACCATAATTGTCTTAGCTTATAAAAAGTTGAAAAGAAAAAAGGTAATCCACATTATAATATTTACAGATTACACCACTGTTAATTTTTTTTATATTATAACAATAATTTTGTAAGGTGTTTTTTGATTACGTGAGATGATCCCACCAATAATAGCCAATGGGGGACACATCAAGACATTCATTATCATCTTAATAATATCTCTCTTCATTTTTTACTTTCTCTCTCTTCCTTGCATGCATGAGGAGGCAAAACCAGCCCCTCTCCCCCTTTCTCTCTCATCATTTCACCTTTTTTTTCTTAAGCTCATCACCAAGCACATGTACTACTAGTCTAACTATATATCTATCACAACCATTACTCGGTTCATCGATCTGATAAGAGAGTTGTTCCAACTTAATCGGAGATTTAAAATATAAATCTTAAGAATGAATGCATGCAACAACATTTGTTTAGAAAGCTTCCTATATTATTTTTCAAATTAAGATGTATATGAAGGGTCTGATGAAACCTAAACCAAATTAGTCGGAGTTTAATAGGCATTAAAACATCAAGTCATGAGATACCCTACAAAAATAAAAATAAAAATAAAAACAAAAAAGCACTAGTAGGAGCGCCACTAGCTAAAACTACTACTACTACAACATAATACTGTAGTACATGTTGACAGTTCAAAGCAACACTAATAAGCTTCGGGGTTAAGGAAGTAAACAATAATAATAAAATAAAAAAGGAAAAAAAACCCTAATATAAAAAAATGTATAGTATTATTTATAATAAAAACAAAAAGAGGGAGAATAAAAAGGGGAAAACACACACTCAAAAAACCCTTGTGAAGCTAGCAAAAAAGCTTTACTCTTGCTCCTCTCCCTTTCTATCTTAGCTTTCCTTTGAAATTGTTATCTGATTATATCTCTTCTTTCATCATATACTTTGATTCTCCACCATATCCCCAAAGAACCCACCTTCCTCTTCTTCCATCAAACTTTTATAAAAGAAAGAACCTAAAAAAAAAAAAAAAAAGATAGAAAGAAAGAATTAAAGATAGATATCAAAAAAATACCTTAATAAAAGAGAGACTATGGTTTTCTCTTCAGTTCCACACTATTTAGATCCTCCCAATTGGCAACAGGTAATTTATTCATGGTTTTATTTTTCGACTTTGTTTGTTCGTCTTTTTTACATCTTCCTACTTAATTTTAATTCAGCTTCTATTTCAAGGAAGAACAAAAAATAAAAGTTGATGAGAGATTATTATTCCCTATTCCCTATTCGATCTTCTTATGATAAATAACTTTCATTCATTTCTGAATATACCTCAAACCATTTAAAGTTGGGTGATTCTTTATTTTTTTTTTATTTTTCTAGCTTTAATTAAATTTGTTAGTTTGTACTAATATATGGTACTACTTGTTTTTTCATCATTTTATTGCAGCACCCTAATCATCAACAACTTCTCCAAGGTAATAATAATGGTTCTGGTGGTAATCAACACGATCACCAAAATCATCAACAACACCTTCTTTCACCACCACCGATGCCCGGCCAACAGCCGGGCCAGCCCCAGATGGGGATGGGTGGTGGTGGCGGAGGACCGGGGGCTCAGCCTATGCGCCCTAACTCGATGGCGGAGAGAGCCCGCCAAGCGAAGATCCCCCCACCGGAAGCTCCACTAAAGTGCCCCAGGTGTGACTCTTCAAACACCAAGTTTTGTTACTTCAACAACTATAGCCTATCACAGCCCCGCCACTTTTGTAAGGCTTGTAGACGGTATTGGACACGTGGCGGGGCTCTTAGGAATGTTCCGGTAGGTGGAGGATGTCGGAGGAACAAAAGGTCCTCCAGTAAGTCCTCTGGAGGAGGAGGTGGTGGTGGTGGTTCATCGTCTTCTAAGTCCTCTCTCTCCTCTCCAACCGGGATGATTGGAGGGGAGAGATTACCTCTACATATGGATTTAGTAAGCACAAGTGGTCTCGGCCCTAGTTTCCCCGGCATGCCCTCGGCCGGGGGTGGGACCGGGATGTCGTCCTTCATGGCCTCCTTACAAAACATAGCTCAATTAGGGATGGGAAATTTAGGTCTCAACTTTGGTGGGGGCCTCAACACACCTCCTCCTCACCCTCTAGGAGGGTTAGGAGGGTTGTCTGGTAGTGAACATCCTCCTCATAATCATCAAATGGATTATCCTCATCAACTTAACCCGAACCCGAGTAATAATCAACAACAACAAGTACATCATCATCAATTCCCTAACTTCTTAGGGGGTTTCGAAATCCCTGGTGGCTCTTCAGCTGGTGCTGGGTTATACACCTCATCTTTTCAAAATGATCATCAAGGAATCGACGGTGGTGGTAGTGATGACCAACATCATCATGACCAAGATGATGATCAAGTCAATAGTAATCTTCTCAAGAGTTGCTCATCAACTATGACATCACAGCTCGCGCCAGTGAAGATGGAAGGTGATGGTCAAAGACTAAATTTAGCCAAACAATTCATGGGAATTTCATCTTCCGATCACAATAATAACAATATCAATAACAATAACAATGCAACGGGTCATCAATTTTGGGGTGGTAATAACATTGGTAACAACTCGGCTACTCCTACTAGCATGTGGACTGATCTCTCCGGGCTTAATTCATCTTCTACTAGCCATCTTTTATGAATTGTTTCGTAACTTATTGGTTCGTCGGTAGTAGCTAGCTAGCTATATATATATATATGTATGTATATGTATATTTTAGCTAAGCTAGCTCTCCAACTTAGCTTGTTCGTCTAGCTAATTTGTTCACCAGACTAAATATTTGGCTTCGATCTTGGGAAGAAGATGATTAAGTGTATGAAAGTCATTGTTCCATCCAAGAATTTCGAGATGACCGACATATAGTTGATTAATGATCGTCAACAATCTTTCATCATGACTACTGCAGCTAGGGTTGAGATGTGTATCGCGGTCTTCCTCAATCTCTCAATGCCATGATGATGAGATAATACTACTACTAGAAGTTAGTGATCTATATACTCTAAGCTCTTTTAATGTTCTTATTACTTTGTTTTTTTTTCCTTTATCCTTCCTTCAATTTCTTGTTGGATGTATGGTACTTGTATTTTGATTGTGGGGTGTGTAAGAGTTTTGAATCAAACCTTTAAACTTAGCTTTTGATTATAAATTTATAATTATTAATTAAATTAATTAATTTCTTCTTAATTTGTAAAACTAACTAGTCCTACTCCGATCTCCATTGTATTCTGTTCACTCGAAATTATCTAGTTGTCAGGTTGATAGTGTAATTTAGTGGACTTCTAAGGCAGTATTTCTCGTGTTTTCCCTAAGAAGTAAGAACTACAATAATAATATGATCATTAGTACATTACTAAGATGTAAGAGATAATATAAAAGTATGTATTACGTTGGTAAATTGTATGTACAACTCATACTATAATGAATAAATATACTGATTCAACAAAGTCATGGCTTTGAAGTACAAAATTGGAGCTTTTTTTAAGAACGGGATTTCATCACGTTTGCTTTATATAGAAATTCCGAAACCCGAGAAAACAGATGGTTACACACAGTTAAAGGGGAATTTTCACAGAGATAGAGTAGCAAAGAGAAGAGAGTATGGTTAAGACGACGACGTAGAGATGATTCCAATGCAAGATAATAAGATCGAAATCATGTTGTACGGAAGACTGTAAGGACAGTAGGTAAGTAGTTATTGCAACTAACTAGAGAAGCAAAATTGGCAGAAGTGTCATAATTTCGTTATAATAAGGAAGATTTGATGATAGTTATTTTAAGGTCAAGTACTTTGTTTGTTGTTGAGTGTGAAAGCCAAGGATTTGAACAAGATTATGTGAAAAACGCCAAATTTCCACTCAAAACCATGCAACATAAAATATTTCTTCTTTCTCTTTCTTAACTGTCTAGTATGCAGTGAGTAGTAATCAGTAGTGTTGACTGTGGAGAGACTTCTACTCCAACTATTATTTCAAACTAATAATAAATTAATGTCATGAAATGTTCAATGATTTAGCGGCTTTGATAGAGGAGGATGATTATGGAAGGGTAAAAATTAAAAGTTAAATTATATTACTCGGCGTTTGTAATTTCGATATGAGATGGGTGTATGACTGTATGATGATTAATTAAGGGTCTTATTTACCTGGACTAGTCATTCATGAATGACCACATGTTACTTTAGGATGTTCAACTCGTTAATTATGAGAATAAAGAATCGTTGTCTCCATTCGAATAATTTGACTGTCATAATTGCGTTTCGAATTACAGTGTTTAAAAGTGATATGAACTTAATTAGGACGGGTTAATGTAAAAACACGAGACATATAAATCGTTACTTAGAGTAGTAAGCAATGGTGACGAGTTGACAGGGAGAATCCTATAAATTAATTTCTCGTCAAAAAAGGGCATATACTTCATTATTAAGTTTTCTCTTATGGTTGCTACTGGGACCTAAAGCTTAAAAATTGCTCATTGCAATCCTACTCTATTATTATTTTCTATTTTCTTAAAAAAAATCTCACTTGATCTCTATTCTCTAATGGGCTAATTATTGCAATGTTTCCCACATTGCTGTTCAAACTTGACTCAATCTTTTTCAAACTTTGGGAAAGTTAGTTTCTAGGGGTAAAACATAAAAAGATATGCATCCGATTAATACATTTTTAATTATTTTTATTTTTGTTAATATTTAAAGACACCCTCTTCATTGAAATAGTATTAAAAAAGTTGATAATTACACAATTATTATTTTTTTTTGAAAAAAAAAAATATGGGTGGCTATGCTATTATATGGTCTAAAAAGGGAGAGAAGAGGAATCTTGGATTTTGCTTTGCTTTTACGAGGACCAAGACAGTAGTATGTACCATCTCTCTCTCTCTCTCTTTCTCTCTTTTGTGATGAATAAATTGAATAGGGTGAACCTTAACTGTTAAAAATAATATGGGATGCTAAATTTGGAGAAAGACGTAAATGGTCTATAAAAAGGGATAGTGAAAGAAGAGAAGAATATGAGGTAACTAAAGAAAAATAAAGTGAACGTAAATGTCGTTGTTGATTCATACTGTATTACTCTATTATTATGGTTGCTATATATGTTGAATGAAAGTGGAGGGTACTCATATAGAGAGCACCAAAATCAATGGGGTGCGGAAATCTATGTTATGTACGTTATGCTAATGTTACACTCGGTACTTTTATGTTGGTTTAAGTTATCACGTACTTGTATGTAACAAGTTCAGATTGGTACTTTTAGATTTTTTACGGAGCTTATGGTAACTGATAATTAACCTTGCTTGCTATAAACTCAATGAATATACTTGTTTTATACAGCTTTTTTAGTCACGTAGATTGTCTTGTTGCTTAGTTTAATGTTGATGGCAGAGATATACACATCAACACATGGGCATAGGTAGGCGTGAAAATGTTCTTCATTCTGAGATCGTATGTACGCATCATAGTCGTCCTATGTATGCAGCTTTCGCTTTTTGTTATTTGTATGTAAAAGGAGCATGTGTATGTTTGGGTGACTCAGATTTAATTTGGTATAGTATAGTATAGTACGAGTAGCAATTTATACACTTACATAGTTATAGTATTAAATTAGATCAGATTAATAAGGTCCAGTATAATTAAGTGCATTTCAATCCAGATGTTTTACGATGTCTGGCAGTGGAGTCACTGGATTGTGCTGTTTCAACATTTTTGAGAAGCTTTGGCAGATTTCTATAGGCGTTTCAAGATCTTTAATTTCATGACTCTGCATGTAGAGTTTTCAAAAAAAAAAAAAAAAAAAAATAAAATAAAATTGCATGTAGAGAGTGCTTTATAAAAAAAGGCTTTAAAAAATATTGTCCCTTAAGCTTAAAGTCCGACCCTATCCACTCTTAAAGAAAGTGAATGACTAGTATCCTTCTTGCAATATTTTTTTTTTTTGGTTAGTGAGCTGAGGAGAAAGGCCTACTAAGTCGGATACTCTTACAAGTCCTTCCGGTTCAAGTTAGCAGGCTAAACACTTTGGGGGGGGGGGGGGGTAAGGGAATTCTCACCCCAAAGTGTAACTAGTAGGGTTTGATTCCACAAGCTCAAAGTTGAGAGATGCAAACCATACAACTAAATTAAGCTTAAAGTCCGACCCTATCCACTCTTAAAGAAAGTGAATGAATAGTATCCTTTTTTTTTTTTTTTGGCGCTAGTAAGGAGAAAGGCCCTACTAATAAGTCGGAATCTCTCACAGGTCTTTTCGGTCCAAGTTAGCGGGCTAGGCACTTCGGGATTGGGGGAAAGGGTAAGGGAATTCCTACCCCAAAATGTAATTAGTAGGGTTTGATCCCACAAGCTCAAAGTTGGGAGATGCAAACCATACAACTAAATTAAGCTTTGCTTTTGCTCTACATGTATATGTGAAGGTCGGGAGTGCATATATGGAATATATATTATTTTGTATACGTTTTATGTTAAGGAATATTTTCGCCATAATTGAGTTTAATTTTATCATGTAATTGATTTATAGTTTTGACATTACACACATCTTTCATGCAAATAATGAACAAATATAAAAATGTCTATTCTTATCTATTTCATGTTATCCCGTCTACTTTTTTTATCACTTCTAATGACAATTATGCTTAATGCACTACTACTACTTGTTATCTCAAATGATAATGTGATTACTATGTATACATGTCAATTCTTAATCCGTGTCCGTAACTTTAGAAGTCACTAATCAATCTTATGCGATTATATATTTCCCTATTTACCTTATGATAAACATCAAAAGCCTGCCCTAAGTATACAGTTTCTCAGCCATTTTTCACTAACTAATACGAGTATATATATTCGAGTAATGGACTAACGGGTTCCTACAAGTTAAAGAAACTTTCATGCACTTGATAATCCTTCAAACCATATTATATACGAATTGAAGAATTAATATCTAATTCCAGCTTTAAGTACACCCTTCTGGAGTTCTGGTATTTTTTTTTAAACTATATATCATATAATTTGAGATCATGAAATTATAAAACTTTTTAGCTTATATATACGGAGTAATATATAAACTCGTCTTAGTTATCAATCGATTTTTCTAGTCACTCATGTTGCTTTATGAACATCATATTAGAATCTATATCATTTCCTTGTCCCCCGTTATACGAAATATTATTATTTGTTTCACTGTATTTATAATTGAATCATGTAATAGCTCTTTGAGACTAAAACTTATATATATCCAATATCCTCATAGAATTACAAACATAAATAATATTTTAAAACAACAAATATAAAATAATTTGTTTACAAAATAAAACAGTTTATATTAATTTTTAAATTTCCGAATTTTGCCAATTAGAATTTGCCGACAAAAACGTGCATAGAGCATAGTGAGCCCTTACTAGAAAAGAATTAGGGGTTCGATAGTGAAATACATGAGGATAGATGAGGACGTGTAATGTTAGTGACATGTAGCACCAACATAATTTGACCACATGTAAATTACTATTGGATAGTAATTGATGCCTACCTATGTTTAAGCTTTAAGTAAGGCTGATTACACCCCTAAATTATGCATACATATCCTTTAATCCATATATAGTCTAAATAATTGATTAGTGGATCATATTTTACTTTAAAAACCTCCCGTCTTTTTCTATGTTTCATAACATGTTATATGATAATAAAATTGTTATATACACCCGGGTGCACGGTGCACCCAAACGTATTTATTTACTCATTTGATGATAAAATTAACAATAATTATCGAAATGAACAAGCAATACCCTTGGAAGCATATACATAACAATTTCTAGTCGATAAGAGAAGATAAACGGACAATTTAAACACCGGTAACCTAACCCTTTTCTTTTACAGTCTCCAAGGGTTTTTTTTTATTTTTTATTTTTCCTTACATCTCCGGCCATATATGGAGCCCAGAGGATATTCCAAACCAAAACGGGTCACCCCAACAGTGACAACAGGTTAACAAGAACCGTACCATCAAATATGAACAATGGGCCCAATTAGGAAGTAAACGGGTCAATAAGTGGGCCTAAATTTGAAACGGCTAAGCCCAATGGAAACATCAGCTTTAAAGGATAAATGTTCGACAGCATTAAGTGTCAACGCTCCCTTAACGCAATTTGGTAGAGTCCCTACAAAGTACAAATTATGTCTACTTCATAATGCAATTTAAATTTGAGGATAAATAAATTTTCATATAAAACCCCCAAATCTAATATTAAAAAAATATACGTTTCTCTAACGAATATCTAATTATCAATTATAGAGTGGTGATTGAGGTCCTACAAAATCCAATGCACATGTAAAATCTAAGTGACAGTTGTGTGTGAGATTGTAAACCCCCAACCTACTTACAAGAAAATTGATTTGGAGACTTGTTTTGAATTATTATGCCCTATGATTGATAATTGGCTTCTTACTATTTGAACGAGACTTAAAATCATACACTCGGAAAATATAAGTGCATAATAAGTATACATCACACCCTTAAATTTCTAATAAAAATTGTCATGTCTATTCATGTTTGGATTGGATAATATTCGAGTGATATTTTCACTTGGGTATAAGGATTAAGGAATGGGTCGAGTTGGGGTCAATTTTAGGTCTTTCCATCTAGCTAATTATGGCCTATGGAAAACTAGCCAATATATAAGCAATTTTGATTTTGTTCGATTCACTTTAGGGTATTGTTCAACTCAAGTACTTTGTAATTCAGATCAAGATAATTCGAATTGGATCAGTTTTGTCAAGATACTTCTATAGTTCTATGTAACCTACTCCTGATCAAACTGTTGGCCAATGGTTAGCAGTAAAAGGCGTGCCTTTAAAATAAAGGCGTAGTCCTAGATTTGGCCATCGTAAAAACTATTCCTAATTTTGGAAAGAAAGAAGAGCAAACTACCATAAAAACCAACAATAAGAAAGCCAGTGTATGGCAAGTAACAAGTTCTCTTAATGGCTGAAAAAGTCCTTAGGTTGTAGGTAATTAAATGTGATGGTTTCAAGTTCTCATATGGCTTCCCAGTTCCCGTGCTTTGAGAAACGAAGTACTAGTAAAAGGCCTTGAATAGATGAATCCGAAAATAACGCAGAGGAGGATCGAAGTACAGAAGAATGTATCCTTCAGTAAAAATTGAGGATGATTAGCGTTGATACAAATTTTACAAAGTTACATTTCGATAAACATGACTACTGACGCCAATTTCTTCTTTTCTTGTATGCCTTTCGTGCCCCCTGTGAGAATTATAAGATCTATCCTCAGTCCCATTCCAAAAAAACTCACCCGAATGCCAAAAACAACGAATTTCACCCGTAGGGTTATGACCTTCCACCTCCGGCCTCCCTGTGAATCAACAGAAGGCCCTCTCCCACCCTCCTTCCCTTTAATTAAAATAAGAAATAAATTATATATATTTAAAAATATAGGATTGGAAAATCAAGAAAAACAAAGACCCTATCAGTCCTCATCGACATTCGGAGGTGCAAGTACTTGAGCCTCGGCTTGTGCCTGGGCCTGCTTTTGCTGCTCAAGCAACCGATTCATTCTGTCCAATAATTGCTGGGCCTTTCTCTTCCCTCTCTCGGTGCCATTTTGTACCATCTCAAGCAATGGGCTCATAATTCCTATCTCCTGTGCTGCTGCTAGGTAGTTTGGATCCCCTGAACAAAGATGTACTAAAACTGCAGCTGCGTTTTCTTTATTCCTGGGTGATCCATTTGCAATAACGTCTACCAAAAAGGGTAATGCATCTGCAGATCCAATGGCTGCTTTACCTTCGGGATGGCTAGCTAGTATAGCCAGAATAGCCAGCGCCTCATCCAACATGCCAGCTCCAGGCTCTGTCAATAGCCTCATTAGTGTGGGCACGATACCAGCTCTAACTGCCTTGCCTTTATTACCTTGGTATATGCAAAGGTTGAAAAGTGCAGTAGCAGCGTCTTTCTTCCCTCTTTGAGTACCCTCACTCAGCAACATAACAAGAGGAGGTATAGCACCTGACGCACCAATTGTTACCTTATTTTCATCCACAACTGAGAGACTAAAAAGGGTAGCAGCAGCATTTTCCCTTGCTTCCATGCTACCCTTCTTCAGCACGTGAACTATACCAGGCACCGCCCCAGAGTTTATGATGCTTCCTTTGTTATCATCACATATAGAGAGGTTAAGAAGAGCGGTCACAGCATGCTCTTGAGTACGTAAATCTGTCGTTAATAGTAGGTCCACGAGAAGTGGGATAGCCCCCGCTTCAGCAATGGCTACACGATTATCAGCACTACGCTTTGCGAGAAGCCGGATTTCACCGGCAGCAGATCGCTGATCGTCAGGGTAGCCTGAATGAAGCTTGCGGAGGAGTTCATCAATCTTAGAATGTTCTGCAGATGAACAAGCAGACGCTGTTTTGGTGGGGTTGGAAGTGCCTGGTCGCTTGGGAAGTTCCACTCCATTTGCTTCACACCACTGGGCTATAAGGCTTCGCAAAACATAGTTGGGGGTGAGAGAGGAATTTTGGAGAGACTGCTGTGTCTTTGGGCATGTATTATGACCTGCTCCTATCCATTTTTCAATGCATGAACGTTCATAGGTCTGTAAGAGAGATAATTTCGGTTAGTTAAGAAGTGAAAGTAGAATAATATTAGAAAAGAATATACTGTGTAATGTGTATTAGATAATGATGATGTGTGAAAAGAAAAAACAAAAAGAGAGAGCTCTTTTATATCAGCAGCAGCTGAGTATGACAAAACTGCTGCTTATCTGGAAAAAAGTATGATTCAAAGCAAGAGCTAAACAACCCAAAAAATGAATATTTTTAACAAATTGGATACTAGTAAACCCAAGTTTAAAGAGCATGTCATTAGGAAGTAGCCAATGTGCTATGGAAATTGTTACTCCATACTAGAGACCAACAAGTACAGTTGTACTAAGATACCAACAAGTACAGTTGCTCTCTCCCCCCCCCCCTCTCCCCAACCCTCAGTACACACCCAGAAGAATACTGCCATTTGAGAAGTTTCAACAAACTGTACACGAAACTCTACACCTTAAGTGTAAGGTATGTATTATGACCTTAAGCTGGATGGAAAAGAGCTGCAGAAAACAAGTTACTACAACATAATTTACTTGGTAATACCTGCCCAGTTGAGACAATAACCGGATCTTTCATCAACTCTAATGAGATTGGGCAGCGAAAATCATCTGGTATAACAACAGACTTGGGGCTCCCATCAGTAGATGTTTGCGCACTACAACTTGATGACAAATTTTTCTCTCCTGCAGAAGTTCCCAAATCAGGGTTTTCCGTTTGAACAAAATCCTTGATTTTCTTTAGTAGATTGCACATCTTCTCTATTCTCTCGTCAGCATCTCCATCAGTTGCAGAAACCATCTCAGTGAGAACCACAGACTCTTGTGTCAGATCATCAATTCTCGTTAACTGCAACTTTTCAGCAACTCTCTTCATTACGTCAGGGTCCATAGCTGTATCACTGCTGATGCTGTATAGAGATAAAAGATCTTCATAGAGCTCTGCATCAGGTGCATCAACTCTTTCCTTGGCTCTTCTAAACTGAGAAGCAACAAGCTCAACCTGAAAGAATAAAGTTTGCATCATTAACTTATACTTGGCCGTATTTCTTTTACTTACCTTGTTTCACTAGAGAGTGGGGAGGGGGAAGTTAAGGGCATGGTGTAATACCGCAAGATATACTACTCCCCTCTGATTTTTTAATGATGTACCTAATCTTACTTGAGGTGTTATTATTTATACTTCTATGTTATTCTATTATTGGCAAACATATTTTACTATTCCCTTGCGGCTTTACCCCACAATAGTTACACCTTTCCCCTCTTTCTCTCTTACTTTATCCAAGTATTTATTAAACCCATCCACCTTTTCACTAAATTTCTCTTCCTATATCCACATTAAACCCACTCAACTCTCCTAGAAACAACAGTCTACAGTAAATGGGTACATCAAATGGAAACAGAGGCCAGGAGGAGTATAGCATTGAAAATACAAAATCCCTCCAGTAAGTTACATTTTCATAAAAACTCACTCAGTTAGTCAAACGATCATCATGGGCATGCAACACAATTCTACCTGTTCCTTTACTTCGTCAGAAATGTCAAGTTTTTCAAAGGAAATTCCATCCAGGGCTTGCTCCAAATTAGATGTCACTTCATAAAACTTCGTCATAATCTGCTCTCTCTCAAGGGCCTGCCATTACCATGACAAATGTGAACAATGAAACATCAGCAAGGGATTATCATACATCAAATGGTTAGATAATATATTGTCATAGGAAATTTTGGAAGAGTATTCATCGCACTTGACTGACATGCATAACAAAAGTACAAAGCAAAAGGAATACCCAAGAAACTAATGCTATTAGTAAACAATTTTGTTGTCCCCCAACATAATAGTTTAAAGCCTCGATCAAATAATACTTTATCAGTTTTTCAGTTTGTGAGCCATAATATGGTCTATCAACCAACATAGCCAAAGCAGGCTATACAGCTCACAAATTATACATTTACAATCAATATGAATACATACATAATTCCATGTCAATTACAGCCATTAACAGGACACCTCCAAAAAGAGCTATTCCATGATGTGCAAACCATTATTTTGATCAGTATAAGATTGTAATTTTTCTCCTAGGCCCTGCTCCTCCATTGCAAACACCAGATGATCTGATCAGGACCAGTGATTCTACTACACACAACACTGCTAACACTTATGCGCACAGAATTTTGTAAATAGTCAAGATCGACATGGTCATTCATCCAACCTAATACAACAATTACGTGTTCATATCATTCAATTCAACATCCGTAACGTGTTTGCCTACAGGCTATTATGCCATTGGCTGTCAAAAACTAAAATCTTGATCCATATCTAACTTGCTTATCGTTCGAGCCATAACCTCAAGTAAAGTTCAACTCTCAACATCCCCAATAGCCACTACATTTCTTCCTCTAGCAGCACACAAGTACTATTCTGATTCTAAATTTACTTCAATAAATTTGGGGACAAGCAACGCTTATCCATGCTACTGTATTACTTAAACATGACAAGTACCGCTTAATCGAGCTATGAATCACCTAAATCTTAGTAACAAACACTAATAATTACACATAATAACAACCCAAAAAGATAAGTCTAAAGGTGGGAATTTGAGCATAAATCATCAGTGCTTAAAATATAAGTCTTTCACTTAATTCCTCATATTCCATCAACAATCCCCTGCAATCCTGGAATTTCCCTAAAATCTCTATTTCAAATTCTGAAAACTACCGTAATACAGTCAATTTACACAAACAAATCAATACTCTTAGCCTAATATCTTCAAACCCTACAATTTCAACGGACAATCTCAAATCAACCAAATTTGGGGAAAATTACTCAGAACTCAATAATCAAACTAAAACTTGAAATATATAAGCAAAATTGGTGTAAATAAAGAGTAATTAACAGTATATAATGAGCAGATCCAAACCAGATAAATTTTGCTGCCAAGAGAACCAAATCGGAGCAAATCAAGAGCTTGAACAAGCGAATCGAGAAAAGCAACGAGATTAATAACAACATCACTATCTAACGGCAATTGACTCTCCTTCAATTCCTCGAACATTGGGGTCAAAAGCTTCAACCTACGAGCTAAATTACAGTATTGTTTCTTAACAGGAGGACGATAATCTGAAATAGAAGCAATTTCATTGATTCTATCAATTAAATTGTTGAGCAACTGAGCTTCGTTTTCATCCTCCATTGAAGAAGAAAAAATGGGGAACAAAAATGGCGAAAAAAATCAGCGCAGACTTTAGCAGAAGTTGAGGAGAGAGAAAATGGAAGTAGAAATTTAGGTGAGAGTGATTGGGAGAAGAAAAGAAGAGGAAGTAGAGAAGGTAGGCTCCATGAAAGAGAGAGAAAGCAGAAAATGAAGAAGAAGAAGAAGGATGGAGATTCAGACATACGCGCTCAAATTTTTATTACTACAACCTTTTTTTCTTTTCTTTTTTTCTTTTTTTTTTTTGCAGGTTTAACAATGATTAAGGATAACCACTTGACTTTGGTTGTGAAGTTGGTGAGTTGGAGTTGGGGGTTTTGCCGTTTTGGAGCCTTGACGACTTGAATAGTTGAACTCTTTAAAGGTCTTTTCTCTTTAGCTTAATTTCAATTTAGTTCAGTTCTGTTCAGATTCTGATTTCCTTATCTTATAAAATATACTTGTTTCAGAATTTCACCTCTATTCAGTTCAGTAAATCAGAATATCCCCTAAGTTGATTTAACAAGGGAGCCTCAATTTATCTTTGTGATAAACAAAAAAACGTTTACTCATGATATTTCTGTAATTAACATAAAATTAAAAAGTCAACATTAGTGAACCTTCATTTAATAAAAATTTGTTGGTTTATTTATAAAAATGTTACTATATAAACGTTTTTGTTTATCATGAAGATAAACTTGGTATTTTCTCTAATTTAACTAATCTCTCCATCCTTGTAAGTGTTATGGTAACTTTTTCACTATTTATATAATAACAGAGTAATACATAGATAAACAATACTGTATACTTGTATTATGTTGATGATAGTGTATAACTTTCATAATATCAATTTTTTTTATAAGGTTCTGTTCACATTTACTTAATTTCAGTTCAGGTCCAATCAATTTAATTCAGTTCAGTTCGGTTCACTTTAGCTCTTAATTTCCCTCTCTCATAAAATATTTATTTCAGCTCAGCTCCAATCAGTTCAGTTCAGTTAAACTCCAATCAGTTCAATTCAGTTCAGCTCAATTCAGTAAATGTGAAGATGCCCTAAGACAAATGTTGACGAACGCCCCGGCGGCGTTAGATAAGCTAGGTAAAGTAGAAAGATTAAATTAAAACTAACATTAATAACACCGATCGACGTGTAATTTTGTCATGCTTTCCCAAATTAATACCAATTTAGGTAAGATTTTAAATGCTTATCCGACGCCTCGGGGGCATTCGTTAGCAATATCCTTTACATAATTATAGAAACCAATAAACGAAGTTGTGTCCCAAGATATGCATCATATCTTATAACCAAAACTTTTAAAAAATAATACTCTGGTATTTGGAGTAAACACTTGCAACAATTGCAAATTATAGGCAGTTTTTAGACATTTAAAATTTTTTGATCATTATTTAATACAATCAGATCATTCATAAGAATCCTACATTCCTAATACACCATGACATTTCTTGGTAAATTTTTGATTGAGCACTACTACCCAAGATTCCATGAGAGTAATGAGACCACGCAATTTTTAGATCAATAGCAAACATTACTATAAAATGATTAAAATGAACTTTTTGATAAAATATGATAAATATTCTAGTATTGTTCTGTATGGAAGGATATATTATTGTATTTATTTAAATATCTTGGGAGATTTCCTAACAAGATTAAGTCTCTCGGTTGTTACCCTTTATATACGTATCAATGGAATTCACTCAAATGGAAGAAGTTTCATATTATCTAACATGGTATCACAGCTTTAGGTTACGATTTAGCTTCCGCAATTTTTTATTTTTTTATATATGAAAAACATGTTTTAAAAGGAGAACACAATTTAAAATTATTTGTCCTTGGCTGGTTCCTTCTGAGAAAACAAAAAGAGTGAATAAAAATGAATTGAGTTTTAAAGGAAATAATGGATGGAAGGTGAGAAAATGTGACTTCTCTTTCTACCATGAAAAAAAAAATAAAAAATTGGTCTGCCTCTAGTAATATATTCTTCTTCGTTGAAAAAATAGTTTTTGTACCTTTACATAACCAAAAATTGATTTTGATACTTCAAATATTAATTTAAGCTTTTAGCCTTTTATTACTAAGACTTTGCCCAAGTGGAAAAATAAATTAATTAATTCAATATTCTGGTCCAATAGAAATTGAATAGAAATAGGTAAAAAGAAAAGGCATCAGATTCATTTAAGATCATTGCAAAAAAAATAAAAAACAATCATTACCTTAATAAGATTATTCTTTCTTTTATTAAAATCGGTAATTAAGGTAAACAATAGTACAATTCTACTTTTGTAAAGCAAAAGACAGATAATGATCTGTATGTAGTGCATCTCAAACTAGTCAGTCAACCTTACAGCCTTTTTATATTGTGGATTATAAACTTCCTTCCTCTTTTGGTAATTATATTTTTTAATAGCAAATTAATTAGTATAATAAGAAAATTAAGATAACAATAATATATATATACGCGCATAAATGTTGCACTCCTACCAGAAAATAGCGGTTATCGAACATCTATCTGCGCGTTATTACAACTACATTATTATTTTTTTCTACAAGTATATTTTATGAATTGTATTGCATCCCCAACTACTCAACCTTACAGACTTTTCTATCGTGGATAATCAACGCACCATATAATAGTATGTGTTATGTTAATCTAGTATAACTTCAAGGATCTGTCTACAGCAGTTGTATGTACGAGTATGTTCTAGACTTCTAGCTGTAGTACCACTAGTACAAGACTACAAGCTGTACATTTTATCTTTCAGTTAGGATGGTTTGCGAAACTTACACAATAACATGTTATACATATCCTAATCACGGAGTATTTAAGTTTCCTAACATCTATCCCTTCCGTTCTTGATTATTGTTTGATTTATTAGTTTCATGTTATTGCACTTGTTAATTAATGTTTGCAATTTGTAAGTTGAACCATGTTTAAATTATAGTGTTTAACCATTATAAACGCATAAGTTTTTAGGCTATACACACATGTAGTATGTCAAATTTCATTTGTTTTACGTGTTGTTTATCATAACGTATCATGTTATTTTCTGAAAAGAAATAAAATAAGTGATTTATGCATGGTCCATAACCCAACGCGCAGGGTAATAGTCATTGGGGCCTAAATAAGCTTAATGCTATTTTTACACTTATCATAAAATTATCAAAGAGAAATTACATTGGCGACAATGCATAGGATTATGATTTATGATCATTATCGTAACTTTCTTTAACTATGTTTAAACGTACTTGATATTTCACAAGAATAAAGTATGGTAGAACCAAAAGCCCTTTTCAATAGACACATTTAGTATGTCTCACTAAACGACATTGTATTACGTAAGTTGTAATGATTAATTCAAACTTAATTATAATAAAATACGTGTAAAATGTAAACTAAGCAAGCAAAACATCAAGGAGTGATTAGAGCTGATTTTATACAGGTGGTGCATGTTAATTTGAGTACAGCTAATTAGCAACTATAATCTGTTAAAAAGCCTTTTTATACTATGGGCTAAATATTATACACCAAATCAAGATTTTTATATTGTTTAGGTAATTTAAACAAGGATTAAGAATATCCTTGAACCTGGACTTTCATCGTAAGCATACACGTGGCCCACATGGAAATGAGTTTTCTTTTTCCTAATTCGAGGTGGGCCCATCACATATTCGTGATAATTGGCTTAATTTAGCTAAAGCCATCCCATGGTTTTTGACTTTGGATGGGCCACACACCTTGATTATGGATTAACCAATAACCAGGGCCCAGCTAAAATGCCAAATTACCTTTTTTTTTTTTTTTTTTTTTTGTTTTTTTTTTTGGGGGGGGGGTGTGTTGGGTAACAAATTTGAATATCTACTTCTTAAAAAAATTAGTACAGGACTAAACAAAATAAAGATACGGAGTACTTAATATTGTTAATAAATTTCTGAAAAAAAATTATTAATACATCCATAGCCAAAAGTCTAGCAGTTCTTATGAAAAAATGCAAGTTCATGTGAACTAATGTAGAATGAGATTAAGAAATGTTTTTCTTTAACATTTTCCCAAACTATGTACATACTTTAAAATTAACATTTGAAGTTTGAAATCGCACATATTTGGATTATAATACATGTATACTATTAATAGTTGAAATTTAACCGTAAAATTATACATATTAAGTCAGTTTAAAAGGATAATGTAAGATTTTGACACATCATATTAGCTAAAATATTTATTGAGGTTTCAATAATGTAGCGGTATTGAACATATTCAAATAGTGTAATGGTTGTAACTTAGCTTGTATCATCCGTCATTGAATATTCATTGAATGATATTTTTTAAGAATCCACCTTAAAATCTAAAATAAGGATAATCCAAAATAAATAAAAAGATTAGGATTGTTGAGGTGGAATCCGTTGAAGAAAAAGATGTAGTGAGCCCTAGTGACGTATTTGACAACTCATTAGTCATTGGGATTGTGTTTTGATATTGCTCTATTTGACACCCAACTTGGGAGCTTAATGGATTATACGAATAGATTTCCTTAAGCCCATCCTTGAATTGGCTTCTTGCCTTTATTCAATCCAAAAAATCTTATAACCTTAATAATTGAATTTGTCATCAAAAATAAAATTGCCAAAATACAATAATGATAATGTAGTATAAGGTGGGACATTACATTAATACAAAGAGAGCCAAAGAAATTATGTGAAGTCTCTATTGTCTTTTGCCATGATCCATAACAATAGTAATATAACATGCAAATTAAAGTTTCAAATTTCCAATTCTTATACGTATTTCAATAATAGCTAATGAAAAATTTGTCATTGAATTACTTGACGATATTCAAAAGAGGGAAAAGAGATCCATCTGATTGGATCTAGAGCCAGTGTTGAGGATCCATCTTTTATATTAAAGCCTCGTTTTAAATAGATCACTTTATTATTTTAACTAGTTTGGTGTCCCGTGCGATGCCCGAGTATTTATTGAATTTAAGATAATTTTTATTTACATTATGTAGTAGGTACGTAATAAAAACTAATAGTAATATTTTGAATAAAATTATAATTCAATTTAATATTGATATTTTATCGAAAAAAAAACTATAAACTAACAATTTTATCCTAAAATTCTATCCAAATAGAATTCTAAACTAACTTTTTTTTATCTTATGAAGTTTATTTTAATCTATCCAACGTGGCGCGACACTTGGCGAAACGTTGGAACGCCAAGTGTCGCTGTCTCGTGACCTGGCTAAAAGTTTAGCTTTATATATTAGTTATATGATTTGTTTAATATGAAGTATAGATTTGGCAAACAATTAAAAATTAAAACATTACAACTACATTGGTATTGAATATTGAATCACAATAGTGATGTTTTGATTCAGGTCATTTGAAAATACAAACACAATTACAAGTGGACTTTTATTAACTTTGAAAGGAGAGTTTATTTTTCACCATCTACTAACTATGGCAACAAGACTATGTGATATATTTACTACTTAACTGTGGCAACAAGACTACGTGATATATTTAAAAATTATTTCAAGTTTAAATTAGGCAACTCTCAAGTATTTCGTTACATAGTGTATTGTCATGGACTCATGGTTGATTGAGCACTTTTAAGTGTTTTAACAAGATTGCTTTGAGTATAATCCGTTTTTTATTGGGGCCTTAGGTTAATAATGATGTAACCATTATGGTTACATATCAAAAAAATCGTGTTGGGTTTGTTTAGCCAAACCAACATCTATCAATCTAATAATTCAAATGTTATTTTATCTGTTTTTTTTATAGTCGTACTGAAATACAAGGTACTTCCTTTATTTTTTTATTGCAAAGTTGGTACTCGTATTTTCATAATTGCATGTGCACATTTTATACCATGAGTTTAATTTTAATATTTTAAAAGTATAGGTTAAGGCGAATCAAATAAGATTTTGTCTAACTATTAATTCTACCATAGATTTTTTTTTTAAGAAGGCAGATAAAACATTATTTTTTAAAAATTGTACTCTCTCCGTCCCCAAAACTCCGACCCTTTTGGCCTAATTTTAGTCCCAAAATAATCTATCCATTTGCATTAAAATACCCACCAATGTACAACAATATTTGTGCAAAATTAGCTTCTCCATATAAAATTTTGTTTTTTCATGTACGTTTAATTCTTTCTCTCTACTTTTGGCCTAATTTTAGTCCCAAAATAATCTATCCATTTGCATTAAAATACCCACCAATGTACAACAATATTTGTGCAAAATTAGCTTCTCCATATAAAATTTTGTTTTTTCATGTACGTTTAATTCTTTCTCTCTACTTTTTTACAAAACCCATGTAAATTTATCTTTCTAATATGTTTTACAGAGTATTTCTTTTTATTTAAGTTTCTTAATAACCGCGAAATCAATCCAAAATGGTCGAAGTTTTAGGGACGGAGGGACTGAGGGAGTACTTTGTTTGGGTCGAACAATTGCTAACTTTTGGGACGCATCTTATACCTTTACTTTTTCCCAGCCTTTGGGCCGTCACATTAATTTCTGATTTCCTTATTCAAAGAATACTCGTTGAATCGGCGACCAAAATGGCGGGTTTAAAAGACGAAAATGGCCGGAAAAAGTCGCCGGGCCTAACATTCCGGTGTATTGTTTCCTGTATTTCCGGCATCATCACTCAATTTTCCCTACTTTTCATACCTTATTTCTTCCCACAATTCTCTCTCCTACTTCAATTCCTCCTCTCAGGTAATTTAGCCCTACTTCCATTAATAAGAAGCTCAATCAATTTCTAGGGTTTTTATAATTATTTGATTATTCATATTTAATCATTAATTGCAGCTGCAGTTCTTGCAATTGCTATTGGATTATGCCAGTTTATCAAGCTTTTGCTTAGAATTCATGCTTCAGCCCCGGTTTTTGTATTTTTTCACACGATCTTCTTTTGGGTTGTTTATATTAGCGTGATTAGTCAAGGTAATTTTGATTCATCGTACTTTGAATGTGTGATTAACATTTGATTTAAGCAAGTTAATTAATAATTGGGAAGATTATTATTGTTGATGATTATTTTTTAATATGATTTGCATAATTGATAATTGGGTGAAATTTTACTAGTCTTTCTGCTTGATTATCAGATTTAAGTTTAGTTCGTTCTCGTGTTGCTATGTTTTAATGCATGATCAGTTTTACCTGGATAACTAAACGATATCATTCTCTCCCATTTCAAATCAAGTGCTCGTATCTTTTAAGGTTATGCACACGTATTAGTAATTTACGAGGTAATTATAGAGTAGGAAAATTTTGTTTTGTTAATTGGATTGATTATGCAATCTATAGAGTAAATACTATGCTGAAACCTCAAATACCTGGTTGGGTACGTTTTGTGTTTGATGCTAGGTGGTAATCTAATGTTGCTTACCATTGGAGCTTGTTTTGATGCCTGCTTTATCACATTGTTCAGAGAATAGGCATTGCATGTTCATTTGAAAAATAATCACTGGTGCAAATGTAAATGTATTAAGTTTATTAAGGCTTGTCTTCTTTTGATCATCACTCGACTTTTGGTTTGCTTGGTTTGCAGCTGTTTCAATTCTGTCAAATGTTGTATTCAATGCAGAGCTAGCAATTCTTCTTATTGGGTTTTTGAGGTGAAGTTAATTATCACTCTTCTGCTTTTGAAGCACCAATGATGTGCTCCTAACACTAGCAAATACTTGCTTGGCTTCAGGATCTTATCAAGTGATCCTGGTTTTGTTTGCCATGACTCTCCCAGTTCAGTTGAGGGTTCAAATTCAGAAGATGGGCATCATCTGGAGGTTGTGAATTAGGAACAACGCTTATTGTTCTGGTTATAATATGCTTAATGAGCTTGATGTTGAATGTTTACAGGAAGTATCATCTACAACAAGAAGCACAAGCTTGCACAACTCAAGTGATATGGTAAATTTACGTATGCCATATTCTGTTTGAGGGCTATTATGCCTTGTTTTAATACTTTCTGTTACTTATATATGCTATCCTAGTGTCTTCGACCCATTTCTTTTGCTCATTAAGAACGTAAAATTCAGTCCTTTTTATATCTTCTCTGGATTTCAATTGCAAATTTAAGATCAACCTTGACTTTAAGTCTTAAACTATCATGTAAGAAGATGGTTCATGTTGCCTTTTTCCCTTTTTAGACTTCGTTATCTTCAAGAAGGACGCGCTATTGTAGAATTTGCAAAGCCTATGTTATTGGATTTGATCACCACTGCCCTGCTTTTGGAAATTGCATAGGTAACAACAGAGCATGAGTTTAAAAATTAGACCTTAAACATGCTGCTCAAAATTGAATGACGTTTTACACTACACTAGATTTTGTATTTTTAGAATATGGTGTATTTACCATTTTTTTATTCCTACTCATTTTTGCTTCAGCTTCAGAAATCAGAATATTTATGTCTGATCATGTACTTGTCTGCAGGCCAGAGAAATCTTAGGCTTTTCATGTCACTTTTAATTATATTCATAATAATCGAGGCCTACTATACAATGCTTTCTCATCAGTGTAAGCTTTATTTTCCTTTTGAATGATTTTCTTAATCTGTTGCATAATCTCTTTCTCTCTATCAATAGAATTAACATGTGAGTGTTACAGTACTTAGAGGAATTAGCGCTGAATTCCATAATTCCATTTGGTATTTTGAATACCCCCCCTCCCCTTCCAATACTAAGTACTGAGCATCAAGTTTGCCTGGATTCCAGGGATCAACAGAAATCTGATCTTGACAGAGAGGGCCTCCAAGGTAAATCTTTCCTTGTTTCCCACCGTTTAGAGAATTTTATTTATTTTAAATCATCTATGTATAAGTGGAACTTCAGGGCAGGTATTTTCCCTGACATATTATTCACATGTTCATCTAATGTAGCTTTGCTGGTGGAATTTTCTTTTGTTGCAGATTCAATACAGCTTGGTCCTGAGCACGATGAACTTTTCTTTGCTTCAAGTGCTTTGGCAGGTTTGTGCAGTTCATGGCGAACAGTGGATTCAGTGATGGGAAAAGAATTGAATTACTAGTTGACGTTACTCATTATAAACTCTGATTATTATACAGGTGGCTTTTTTTGCATGGCATGTATATTGTGTTTGCTTCAATATAAGAACTGAAGAATGGGTAAGTTTTGTATGTAACATCTGGATCAATAAGTAGACATCTTATCAATTATCATAAGCACAACAGCACAACTTAAAAGCCAAAAATTGTTGTATTCATGGTAAAAAGATTAAAATTCGAAAGATTTGCTTGGAATTTCTGCAGAGAGCTGACACTTTACATGCAAGAGATTTGGTAAATGAACTGGCTAGCAATTTTTGTAATTTGCTAACATTGTCTATAATATTTATGCTTATGTGTATGTAGATAAATTGGAGAAGATATCCGGAGTTCCATGTCATTGTTCAGCCTATGCCAGGTAATTTAAAAGTCTGATTCTTGTTGAGTTCTGTGAGTTCTGCCTCCTGCTTCCATTTGATGATGTAATTCTTGTCTTCAACTCTTCATACATACGTAGTATATCACATCTGCCTAATGTAATTATTGTACTATTAAATAGATCAATCTTTGTCAGATACGAGGTTCAAGAATCCGTATGATAAAGGACTTTTCTGCAACTTGAAGGAGTTCTTGCTGAGTTGAGACCAATGGTTCACTACTCACAGAGTCTCTTAGGTAAGTTACATCTTGCTCTGGTTTAGTGGCCTGACAATGGTTTTGATTGTGGATATATCAAACCTTAAGTCTTGAATTTGAATTCTGTCTAGTTACTTGCATGTGTTGAGGTTGTCTGAGGTCCCTATAAGGCTATAACTCTGCTGTCAATGAGTTCTCATGTATATATTATTGTTAATTGTTCAGCAATTGTAAACTTGTAGATTCTCATATATAGAGCTATCAAAAGTTGACCCGACCCGACCCGAAATACCGACTCAAACCCGATTATTAACCGACCCATCTGAACCCGAAAAAGTGGTGACCAAAACCAACCCTAGACCCGAGTTGACCCGAGTATGTGAGACCCGAACCCAAACATGAACTAACCTGGAGATGACCCGACCCGAATGTAATTCGTAAATTATTGACCTGAACCGAATTTGACCCAAACCCGTTTTAACCCGTCAAAACCCGAATTTAACCCGACTTGTTACTAATCTAACCTAAATTCAACCTGACCCGTTCCTAACCCGACCTGAATTTAACCCAACCTAATACAAACCCGACCCGAAATCAACCCGGCTTGTTATTAACCTAACCTAATTCAACCCGACTTGTTAATGACCCAACCCAAACTTTACCAGACCTATTACTAACCCGACCCAAAAATTCAACCCAATTTGTTACTAACCCTACGCGAAATCAACACGGCTTGTTATTGACCCGACCTAAATTCAACCTAAATTGTTCCTGACCCGATTTCAAATCACCTTAAATGCAATTTAGACCACCTTATTGTTGTTGATCAAAGCATTTTGTCTAGGGAGACCAAGTCGGTCCAGTAGCAAAAAAAAGGAGCATCATCCTCAAATTTAAGAGTTAAATATAGTATATATTTGTTATATGGTCAAATGAGATAATTATCTTCCTAAATTATAGACTATAGTTCTCTAGTATATTGTCGTATATATTACAGTCAAAGGAAATAATTAGCTTGATAAAAATGATAATTATCTGTTTATAGATAGTTGAACCCGAATATGACGTGATTTGGAAATGACCCGACCTGATTGTAACGTGCAAATTATTGACTTGAACATAACCCGACTTGAATCCGAGAATGACCCAACTCGGAAATGACCTAACCTGATTTTAACATGCAAATTATTTACTTGAACCGAACCCGACTTGAACCTTAGAATGACCCAACTTGAAAGCTGATTATAACCCACAAATTATTGACTTGAACCGAACCCGACTCTAACTCGAGAATGAACCGACTTGATTCTAATCCGCAAATTATTGACTTGAATCGAACCCGAGAATTACCCTAACTCGTTTTAACCCGTGAAAACCCGAATTAAACCCGAACTATTGTTCGCCCAAACCAAATGTAACCCGATTTGTTATTAACCCGACCCAATCCCGATAAGAAGTATGACTCGAAGTGACCCGACTAAAGCATGACCCGACCCAAACCCGACCCGCATAGGTTATGGAATTAATCCGAATTGTCCAACCCAAGTTGAACCTACCCACTCTTACCGACCCAAACCCGACCCGTTTATCCGAATTGACAGCACTACCTGAAAACTCCAAAATTTCTCAATAACCGTGGATATTAGTTTTCAATTTTGGAATTTTCGGACTTTTTTTCACCCGTAAATAAAAATTGCCGAAATGTTTACCATTGTCCCTAATATCCTGCGGGAGTTTAATTGACTGGGTGGAACCATCCAATTTGCCTTTAAACAACCAATATACCGGTTTACAACTTACACCGATTTCATTGACTAAAGCTTACCACGAACATTTATGACAACAAATAATAATCATATTTGGGTCCAAACGACATTATATGACCCCAATATAGAGATGGCAATGGATCGGATTCGGATCGGGTGGAGCTTCACCCGCATCCATCCATTACTCTAATCGCTCCATCCACATCCATCCATCATCCGCTTCACCCATCACCCATATCCATCCGTCCATTATCCGCGGATGAAACGGGTGGAGCGGATGACTAATGGATGAGTATTAAAGTTGAAAAAAACTCACATAACTTTAATTTTCGGTTATTTGTACAATAGTTTTATTAATTTTATTAATTAAAAAGGAAACAATAACAATATATTGTTTGAAAAATTAATTTGCAACAAAAAAATACATATAATTTTCTTGCACATTTCAGATTTTATTATTAAAATTCTTAGATTAAAAAATTAATATATGTTAAACGGGTGGGTGGATGATTAGCGGGTGAAAAAAGTATCATCCATATCCGATCTGATCCATCATCCGCTTCATCCGTCACCCGCTTTTCATCCATTTAATTCGGGTTTTTATCCATTTATTTATTGCGGGTGGAGCGGGTTAGTGGATATCCACTTAATATTGACATCCCTACCCCAATATGTATCTCCTAAAATCTCAAACCTTTTCAACACCGGGCCCTGAAACTTCAAAAATTTGTGAAAAAGCGTGGATATTAGCTTCAATTTAGGAATTTTTTGACATTTTTTCGCACGGAAATAAAAATTGCCGTAATGTTTATGATGGTCCCTAAGACCCCCCAGGAGTCCAATTGTGTGGGTAGAACCATCCAATTTTCCTTTAAACGACCAATTTACAAGTTTACAATTTACACTAATTTCATGAACTAATGCCTACCACGAACATTTATGACAACAAATAATGATCATATATGGGTCCAAACGACATTATATGACCACTATATGTATTCCCTAGAATTTAAAAACTTTTAGTCACCGGGCCCCGAATAATGTATGGTTGGCACCCGGTGCACCATGCGCATAGTGCACCCGGAAAGAACATTAGTTATATTTAAATGAACATGGGCGAAAAAAAGAAGATTATAGATATTTATAAAGAACGTGAGCATAATATGTTCTTTAAATTTGATTAATATGTTCTTTGAGTTTGAACTATATGTTCTTTATATTATACAATATGTTCTTTAATGTATGTACATTAAAAAAAAAAAAATAATCACCTAAGTAACTAGAAAAAAGTACATGTTCTATACTGTATTATCATGTTCTTTTTGTAAAGACTTTATATTATTTGGTTAGAGGTGATCAAAGTTAGACCGACCTGGCTTGATTTTGGACGGGTTTTGGGCAAAAAAATTTCACCCCCAAATTCGGTCGGACCCGGCCCGTAAATTTAAATTTTTGGGCGGGTTTGGGATTGCGTTATTATGCATTTTAGTTGATTTTTTATACTTAACACGAAAAGCCCGCACGGCCGGACCATTTTGGGCAGGTTTGGGCACAAAAACTTCAGCCCAAAACTTGGCCCGACTCGAGAAGTGAGCTGATTTTTTAACCTTGGTCCGGTCCACCCAATGATCACCTATATCTTTGTCAAACACAAACATGTTCTATTTTGTCAAATATAATGTTCTTTGTAATGTCATGTTCTTGTCAAACACAAACATGTTCTTTTGTCAAACACACGTATGTTCTTTTTCAAAGACTAGCATGTTCTTTTTTTTTTCCCATGTTCTTTAAAATATGTCTAATGTTCTTTCCGGGTGCACTATACTATTTTCAGGCCCCAAATACTCCAAAATTTCTCAAAAAGCATATAGACATTAGCCTTCAATTTTTGAATTTTTTTCGCCCGAAAATAAAAATTGCTGAAATGTTTACCAAGGTCCCTAATACCCTCCGAGAGTCCAATTAGGGGGGGTGGAACCGTCCTATTTGCCTTTAAACGACCAATTTACCGTTTTACAACTTGCACCGATTTCATTAATTCAAGCTTACCACGAACATTTATGAAACCATAAAATGATTATATATGGTTCTAAACGTCATTATATGACACCGAGATGTATCCCCTAAAATCTTAAGTCTTTTTCGTCACCGGGCCCCGAAAACTCCAAAATTTCTCAAAAAGCTTGAATATTAGACTTCTATTTTGGAATTATTTGACTTTTTTTCTCCCGGAAATAAAAATTGCCGAAATATTACCATGATCCTTAATACCCTCCTGAAGTCCAATTGGGTGGGTGGAACCATCCTATTTGTCTTTAAACGACCAATTTACCAATTTACAACTTGCATCGATTTCATTAATTTAAGCCTACCACGAACATTTATGACAACATATAATGATTATATATGGTTCTAAACGGCATTATATGACACCGAGATGTATCCCCTAAAATCTTGAGTCTTTTCGTCAACGGGCCTCGAAACCTCCAAAATTTTTCAAATATCGTGGATATTAGACTTCAATTTTGGAATTTTTTTTAGTTTTATTCGTCCGAAATAAAATTTGACGAAATGTATACTATGGTCCCTAATACCCTGCGAGAGTCCAATTGGGTGGATGGAACCATTTAATTGGCCTTTAAACGCCCAATTTACCGGTTTATAACTTGCACCGATTTCATTATCTCAAGTCTGCCATGAACATTTATGACAACAAATAATGATCATATATGGTTCCAAACGGCATTATATGACCCCGAGATGTATCTTCTAAAATCTCAAGCCTTTTAAACACTATGCCGTAAAACTTCAAATATTTGTCAAAAAGCGTGGATATTAACCTATAATTTTGGAATTTTCTGACTTTTTTTCACACGGAAATAAAAATTGCTGAAATGTTTACCATGTTCCCTAATACCGTCCAAGAGTCCAATTGGGTAGGTGGAACCATCCTATTTTCCTTAAAACGACCAATTTACCATTTTACAATTTGCGCCGATTTCATTAATTAAAGCCTACCACAAACATTTATGAGAACAAATAATGATTATATATGAGTCCAAACGACATTATATGACCACGAGATGTATTCTCTAGAATTTCAAGACTTTTGGACACCGGCTCTAAACGACATTATATAACCCCAAGATGTATCTCCTAGAATCTCAAGCCTTTTCAACACTAGGCCCCGAAACTTCAAAAATTTGTTAAAAAGCGTGGATATAAGCCTTCAATTCAAAATTTTTGAATTTTTTGACAGTTTTTGCACGGAAA